AGGTAGGGTGTACAAAGTTGAGCATGATTTGACTTGTTAATCTCAAATACTAGTTTTCAGTTGGTTTTTTTCCCCTTAAATTTGCAATGCTGTTACATTAGTTACAAGTCAACAAACCCAGTAAAGTTCCCAGTGTGGAGTTACTAAAGGTTTGAATGTGGGCATTGTTTATGTATGGAAATCCATAAAACTTTCAGTAGGCATTGTGAATGTCAGGTACGAGTTTGCACGGAGTAAGAGAGGATGGAAATTACTCTCGTTATTCCACATTTCCCAGTCTCATTTCATATTTTATCTAAAAAGTAAGAGAACAATATTAGCTTATACTAGCTACTTGGATAATTAGCATCTTTTAATCTGCAGTTACATTAAAGAGGAAACAACCTGGCAACTACCTGGAGAAACAAGTGCAATTTGCTTATCAAAAAGGTTTTATGAAGATGGCATGTAAATGTGAGGTCTCTGTGGTGTTCTGAGTTATTGACTAAGTATTTCTTCTTTTAGAGAATGCTGGGAAATAACCAATATCAGCATTTTCATTAAAAACAAATAACTGCATTTGTTCCCAAAATGTAGTTTGCATCATACATGCTCTGAAAGTGCTCTAGAATCTCATGCCCTGAATTGTTTCAGATGCCAGAGGAATCACAGGAGCTTGAATGGAGGGTGTTTCTAGGTACACCATTGTGTAATTCAGTAGAAAAGCTAGCTGATTGTGTGGAGGTGAAGTTTAGTGTCTGGTTCAAATACAGAGCAAACAACAGATCTTTTAACAGTTCGTAACATTAAAGTCTAATTGTATGCCAAATAATACAGCATCAGTTTTCCTGCATCCTAATTTTTATAGAGATAATGTGCAGCTGAAAGGTAAAGAGAAGAGACAGGTAGGAGGAAACAAAATGACCAGTCCTCATCCAAAAGGAAATAAACTTGAATGGCATTATTCCTCTCTTATCTTTTTTTAAATATACAGGGCAGTGGGAAATCCTTAGAGAAATCACAGTGGTTCTTGTAAATAAATTCTGTTGGAGGTGATCACTTCTCGAAGTGGATTATAAAAATGGTATTGTGGCCTTTACTTTGATAAGAGTTTCATAAGTTTCACAGGAAAAAAATCCTCTTATTCAGTTATGAGCAGCCTTAAATGACTCTGAAACTGAAGAATGTTGAGAAATAAATTATGGTGTAACTGTCAAGAGGAAGGGGTTTGTGTTGCTTGGAAGTTAAAAGGAAGTTGGTATATGGGTTTTGTTTTGGGCCTGGTTTTTTGTTTGTTCTGGTGATTTTTTTAGGTCTGTTGTTAAAGACAGAAGCAACATTTTAAGGAAACCTTCAGGTCATTCTGGGACGCACATGTAATCCAGAAGGAGAGACTAGAACGTATGAGTTTGGCATAGACCAAAATAAATTTATTTTGGGGCTAGTATCAATGGCTGATTATTCAGAGAAAGGAAAATATTAAATAATGTGATAGGAAGAGAGGAGTTGGCGGAAAATGGCTGAAGGCTTTCTAAAAAACATACTGTATAAATTTTATTTGCTTATAACTTTCTAAAACTGAACTTGTTACAAAGCAAAACAGGAAAGTGTCATGGATACCCATATAGACTGCAGCTGATATGACAAGGATCCTTGAAAACAAAAGCATAATTTTGGTGGAAAACAGAACTCTTGAGTTGTGATGCTTTGCAAGGCTTGGGGGAAAGATGGGGAAGAGGGTATATGGAGTTGCTATAATGCCAAGGTGGATTTTGGACTGAAAGGGAGCTGATGTGCCTGTGGCAAGGTCTGACTTAGAAATCCCATCAATAGGAGGAAGATGCTAGCAAACTGGATTTAGTGCAGAGAAGAGCAGTGAAATAACTGAGAATAGAAAGATTGAGTTGGGAAGGTAGAATGGTAATAAATGGCAGCAATAAACTTGGCAGCTTGGGTAAACTAATAAAAGGGCGAAGGGTTGTGCTCATTATTTAGAAAGAATAAAAGCTCAGAACTACCTTTTCAAGTAGGAGCAACAGGTAAGCATTTAAATTGAATATCAGGAGAACATCACAAGTATTACTCCAAACAGGTTTGGTTTCCCAAAGGTAGTGGGGAATGCTCAAGGCTTGGGCTTGATTTGTCTGAGCTGTTTCTGTGGTTGTTTTAGCAGACTCTGAGCTCTGTTGGAGTTCTGGCACCAGCACAAGGCTTGTTGTCTGGAGGCACTGACTGACAGGAGATAAATACAAGCAGGGCAAACACCAGGATATATTTCTTTGAAGAAAAAATATTGGGGGCAGGGATTCTGTGCTGTTCAGGGGAAGAGGAAGAAGAGCAACTGTTTCTCTAAAAGCTGCTGCTCATGGACTTTTCTTCCTTTTCAAAATTTCAGTAGAAACATGTGGATTAGTTGAGAAATTTGAGGCATTGCAGTGGTTTTCCTGTGCTCAGGTACGGTTGTTAGTTACCAGCGTGTAAAAACATCCTGGTTAGGGGGTGTTTGCTAAAATATGAGCACGAGATGTTTCAGACCACTCTATATTGCTCCTGAGAACCAACACAGGGCAGATGTTAGCTTGCTCAGGACCTGCAAAATAATTTTGGATTCCAAAGTATAAGTAAATCCCCTCCCTTCTCCCCACTGTGTGTGTATATGATCGTGGTAGGCCTGCTCGCCTCACTGGATTAGTGCCGTTCGACCCTCTGCCGAAACCCCGTTTTGTGGTGGTGTACAAAAGGAAGCAGTAAAGCGGTGGTGGCATTAGAATGAGGTGCATTTATTGCTGTTGTCAGGAGGATTGTTTCTGGTTGTCTCAGAGGGCCTCCTGGTTAAATAAAAGTAGATAGCAGAAGCAGTCCTTTTGCTTTTGTACTTGATCAGAGGTGATGGTAGCAGCAACTTTGCTGCTGGTGTTTTCTTTGCTCACAGTTCTGTAGTTTTAAACAAAGGCTTTGATTGTTGCTGGGATGCCCTTCCCTGTGCTTATGATGGTGGGCAAAGCCTTCAGGCTCTTTATTGCTCTTGCATGTTTGTGCCTGCTGTTTCCTATGGGCTGGGATCGGGTTTATGCATCTTGTAGGATAGTTTCTTGTAGTTTTCCCATTTCTGCATGCTGTGGACTGTGCACTGTGCTCCAGTGTTCGCCAAATAAACTCTGCCACAAGTTATGGGAAGAAGTGTTTGTTGCTACAGTGAAAATTTAAGACTTTTCTGCTGCCTTTATAAGAATTATGTATGTTTCTAAATGAAATTGCTCTCTTGGGGTAATGTATTGGGGTTGTTCTCCTCTGAGGAGAGAGCAGGTTGGAAAGGAGCCTCCAGAGGCATAGCTTGGGTCTTGGATTTGAATGTGTTGAAAGCAGAACTGTAAATGTCGGAGCAGGTGATGTGGTTGCTTTGCTCAGGCTCTGTATCAGTTTGTGCATGAAACTGGAAGATCCAGTGGGAGGGTTGAGTAATGTCTCACTGTTCTTGGGGACATAGAAGGAAGTTCTGACAATGTTTGGGATTAATCACTGGGTGCAGACATGCATTCATGCAAGTTAAGTCTGGTACCATAGTGGCTAAGAAATACATGAAATCAGAAATTGGGGGTGGGGGATGGGGGAGTGGTGTTGTTTCCCTCCAAAAATGTTTTTGCCGACCAGTTTTCTGGAGCTTCCCACTGTGTTTCCAAACGTGTTTCCATCCACGTTCTCTTTGCCTTGTGTTCCACTAATAATGGAAACAGGATTGCTTATAAAGCAGAAGGGTTAAGAGACAAGATTATGCTTTTAACTTGTACCTGTTTTCTTTCCTTCCCCCAATTATAATAGGAGCATGGAAAAACTCAATAGAAGAATGGACAGCCGAAGACTGGAATGAGGATGTAAGTGCACCTTGTTGGGTATACCATTTGAGTAATCTTTTCAGAGTTTGTGTTGTTTTCAAAAACTAGGTGTTTGAAGTAATACATTTCTGTATGAATGCAGTGATATTTCTTACTGTGTTTGCTGTAATTCCTGTTTAAAACATATATATTTAGATAAACTTACTTTTAAACTAAAATTATGTCAAGGAATATTTATCTTGCTGGGTGGACAATACATAGATAAAAATATTTTAGTTTTGTCCCAACTTAGTTATTTGTGAATTGCAGTTCTTCACTGCCCAATGCTGATGGGTGTTAACAGCATACTTCTCCCTATTGTTTAGGATTTTAAAGCCATATTATGACAAGACTCATATGTAATTAAGCACTGAAGCCAGTATGCACTTCAGACATCTTGTTTGATGCTTTTTCTTTGAAATCTGTGTAGTTATTCTCTGCCTCATGTTCATAATATTGAAAAAAATAAGCTAGTGGTATGCCAAAGTTAGTACTTAATTGCTTGACTCCAGTTGTTTCATCATGATGTGTTGTCTAAAGTGCTACCACAGTTTTGGTTATTGTACTTTGTCAGATGAGATGTTTTGGTATTTGTGATAATCATGTGTGAAAATCGCACATTGTGATTTTAAGTTTTCATTTGTTGTATTAAAGCTTAAACAGTTCGGAAAACAAATGAGTATAAAGAAATATGAAAAGAAAAAGCTCTTAAGAAGTCTTTAATTTCTTATAGGAACACCCGTTATTTCAAGTCTATTTTCAGAAGAATAGGAGGTTGTCTCAGAACTTATCCCTTATTCCTCTTCCTGTTGGGTGGAATGTCAGTGTTACGTGTGAATGTTCCATGTAACAGATATAAAAACTTTGTGCTTGCCTAATGAGTGGGACGTGTCTTTTGAGAAAATGGAAAGAAACTCTAAAATTCTTAGATATTCTGTATCAGTGAATGCCATCAAAAGCTGACAGGAGACCTTATCACCCTCTACAACTCCCTGAAAGGAGGTCGTAGTCAGGTGGGGGTTGGTCTCTTCTCCCAGGCAACCAGCAGTAGTACAAGAGGGCACAGACTCAAGCTCTGCCAGGGGAGGTTTAGGTTGGCTATTAGGAAGAAATTTTTTACAGAAGGAGTGATCAGGCATTGGAATGGGCTGCCTGGGGAGGTGGTGGATTCACCATCCCTGGAGGTTTTCAAGCTGAGACTGGATGTGGTACTTAGTGCCATGGTCTAGTAACCATGGTAGGGTTGGACTCGATGATCTTTGAGGTCTCTTCCAACCTGGTTGATTCTATGATTCTATCATCTATTAAACCTGTCCTGGATTTCTGCAGTATGTGCTAAAGGTGGACTAAGGGCTAAGAATAGTGGAAATCTACAGCCTGTTCTTACCCTTGTTTGGTGTTGGTACCATGCAGCATTTGTTATGTTGACTAGGGACAGAATTTTTTTCTAATTAGTTATTAAAGCTGATTTGCACGAGTCTTGAAATCTCTAACCCATTGTTAACTTTTATTAATTTTAGAGTCCTGGAAAAATCCCTGTAGCCTAGGAGAAAGATCTGTGCCGATGTTCAGAAAGAGTGAATGAAATGTTGAGCTGCAGGCACATTAGCTCTAAACATGTACAAGGGAAAAAGTAAAGGAAAAGTAGATTTGTATTTTAAAAAGGAGCAGCTCAAGAATACAGCTTGTGCCCTTCAGTGTGGTTTTGTGGAAAATAGCTCCCCTTATAATCAACCTGGTCTTGGTCTTTAAGTAAATTGCAAGTTAACTGTGAAGATAGTGTATGTGTTTGTAAGAGATGTGATCTATATCCTTTGTTCTAAAAATAATTGCATTCTATCCCAAATCACATTAAGTGGATTGAAATTGACCCTGGCGTTTCTAGGAGGACTACTACAAGAACCCAGTCCTGGGCCAGATGCCATCTAGTGCCCCTGTCAATGATTTTGAAGTAAAAATAGTCATTGCTGAATAAAATGTGTGAGAACTCCAAAAATTATTGGAATGACAATAAAAAGTATCCAGTCATGTAG